ATGCCACACAAATGAGACGCCTGGGGAAAGCAGCAGGAGCTCTGTAGAGCCAGCAGGGGTCACGGAGGAGACTGCAGTCTGGCTGGGGTTTCAGCAGGGGAGGGGAGAACATTCCAGCTGGAGGGAGGCTGGGGAAGGGTGAGCCTGCTGGGGCCGGCTGGCCAAAACACCACATGCGTGGGAAAAGAGGAGAGGACAGGAGGTCAGGAGGCAGGTGAGCATCGGAGCAAGATCCCAAGGGCAGGCAGTCCGCGGCCCCCTGGGGCTGTACCCGGCTCTCCTGGACCCACGCCTGGGCTGGCTGGACCACTGCACCAATGAAGCCACGGTGAGAGTCCCTGCGTGGCAAGGCCACCCAGCTCGTTCTGTAACCTGAACGCCACCCTTCACTCGGGATGGCCGCCCCAAGAACACACACCAAGAATGACAAAGGAGGGGATGAGAGAGGGGAAACACAGCACACATTTACCCTGGGGGTGGGGGCACCGATGACAACTCTGGGGACGAGGGTGGCAGACCATCAGCAACAGCTTCATGGGAAGGGCCTCACAGGGTCTTAGCAGGTCTTCTCACTAACAAGTATGCAAGGGACTTCCTTGGCAGACCAGCGGTTAAGACTCTGCTCCCCCTGCAGGGGCCACGGGTTCCATCCCTGGTCGGGGAACTAAGATCCCGCAGGCCGTGCGGCACGGCCAAAACAACCCCAAAGAACAAAAATAAAAAAACAAGCATGCAAGACAGTGGACAAGGGTGAGCCAGTCTAAGCTGTGTGGGGGTTTATGATTAATATAACCACACTGTAACATTTTTGAAACATGAGAAAAGAAAAAAATTACTCGCAACCACGCTATCCTAATGTATTGGCACAGCTTCCTCTCAACCTGTGCTGTCCAATAGAGTGGTCACATGTGCCACTTAAATTTATCTCGATCAATATCACATAAAATTAAAAATTCAGTGTGTCAGTCACACTAGCCACCTTTCAAGTGTTCCTTAGCTGAGCAAGCCAGTGGTGCTATCTCGAAGGCACAGATCTGGAAAGTTCTAGTGGGCAGCACTGCTTGGCCCACCTCACTCATGCATCGGGCCTTTCCATAGATTTCAATCAAAATGTGCACATCATCTGCTACCTACTTTGCTTGTGATGCACTATAAATTTCCATGCTGCAGCACAGCCTTTACAAACATACATTCTGTCTGGCAGTACTGAGGTTCTGAACATTTTGGGGAGTCAGAGGGTGCCCCCTCCTCGGGAAAATGCACACCCATGAGCTCACATACAGGAAGTGGTGTAAGACTTCAGGGGGCTCATGGACCCCCATTAAAAATCCCTTGACCTGGAAGATAAACTGTAATGGATGGGTCTCCTTCTCTAGATTCTTCCCCTTTTTCCTCCATTGTAAAGAATAGCATGATGAACATCTTCATGCAAATGTGCTTTATTTCTGTAGTTTAGATTATTTCTTAGGACGAGTTCCGGAAGAGACCTTTTGATTTAGGGAGTGGGAGCTGTGTTTCAGCTCATACATATCGCCACACACTTCCCCAAGGGGGAGCAATTGACACGCCACATGGGGGTCCACATGCGGGTCCTGTTATACGACACCCTCATCCAACTGGCCCTTGAGACTGGGTACCTCTCAGGACAGAAGCGAATGATGGGATGGCCACTTATTTTGTCGGTGGTCAACCTCACCTTCATCTCGATCCAAAGCCTTGATTTCTGACACTGTGGAAGGTATGGGGCTGAGAGCCACAGACCCTAAACCCTGCTTGTATAACTCAGATCTCCATGGGAGGAGGGTCCATGATGACAAGTCAGCAGCACATCTCTCCTTGTCCACCCATTTCCCAATAGTCCTTGGACACTCATGTGGTCAAGGATTTCCAGCCATCACTGTGCTGGGGCTGGTGGGGTGGCTATGGCAGGTGGCCTTGCCATCTAGGGATGAGGCTGTGTCGGGCTGTACCCCGCAGGTAGCACACGAATGGACACTGCCTTTCTAACCACTCAGCCCTTCTGTGAACTACCAGCCACATAACAAAATGTTTAGGGGACTCTCAGATGGGGGCTGCTTCCCCCGCCTCGCCCATCCCCAGCCTCAGGCTCAGCCTCCATGTGTAGTTCTTCAGTTCTGCCACCAGAGGGATCCCATGAGCCAGCCTGCCTGCTCCCCTCCCAGGGAGCCAATTCCCAGTTAAATTAGGAGCCTCTGCTCCAGGAGCCGCTATGAGTGCATTCAAGTCCTCAAAGACAAGCTCCCTGAGGGGTGTCTGGTCCAGCAGATGCCAGCGCTCTGGGACCTCGCCCCAGATGCCCTCTGCCTGAGGCACAAGGCCCATGCCTCTCTCCCTATGCTCCCCACCCCAGCAGCGGTTCTCATACCTGGCAGCACTTTGGAAACCCCTGGGGAGGTCAAACACTGCCCAGGCCCGGGCCCAATCCCAGCCATTCTGGTTCAATCAGTTTGTGTGTGGCCTGGGCATCAGGAGCCTTCAAAGCTGCCTGGGGCATTCTCATTTTTCGCTGGGCTGGAAAGCCTTGCTCTATAGCACCCAGTACTACTGACCATTTAGTCCCAATTTCCAGGCCCATCACAGGGCAGGAGCTGTGGGAGGGAGGGAGTGGAGGAACACCAGCTTTGCTTCCAGGTCTCAGATGCGGTGGGGAGACAAAACTGCAACTCAGCTCCGAGAGCAAAGAAGCAAGTAAACATGAACTTCAGGGACGGCCTGGCAGGAAATGTAGATTCCAGGGCCCACCCAGCCCCTTTTGAAATCACATCTGTTTGTTTTTTTTAAGCTCCCAGCAACCTGTCAAGCACGGCTGGGTAAGGAACCAGGGTGCCTCCATGTAATACCTCTCACATTCCGTCTCAAAGACAGGCTGTTTCCACATCCGCCCCTGACTGAAGCACACGCTCCCAGGAGGCAGGGAGGGACCTCACTCATGGCCATCCTGCCCCAGTCCAAAGCCTTGGCTGAATTGGACTGATTGGGCCAGAAAAGCAAGCAATATGGAATTGTTGGAACTCCACGGCAAGGGAGGGAGCTCCCTCACAACACTAGTCTTCTGAGCACGTCTTGCAGCTCTAAGCAGAAACATGACCCCTAAGTTAAATTGGGTGGAGCAGGGATCTGGAAGGTAAAAGTAGGGTTCCCAAAGCATGACCACAGAAAGGACTCATGGTGGGGCAGCCAAACTTCCACACCTGACAGACGCCACCCAGCTTTAGCTCAGGAGTCTGCACGCGATACAGAATAATGCTTCCAAATCCAACTGGAGGTGGAAATTGTTGGGAATATTAGCCAGACACACAAACAGAGTGCTGACACACTTGGATGGACCTTAAGGAAGGAGCCAGACACAAAAGGACACAAGTTGCATGATACCATTGAGTTGAAATGCCCAGAACAGGCAAATCCATAGAGACAGAAAGTGGCTGAGGGAGGGGCACGGGGAGTGACTGGTAGCGAGGCACCACCAGGGGGAGCGCTGACAGTGCCCCACTGGCGGCGGGACCCAGGCGTGGCTTTGAGTTATGTTCTCAGCCTGGTTTCCTGGTGGGAAACAGCACATGGCTCAGGGAACCTCATGGGGCACTGGAGTCCTCGGCTACAGCTGACCGCTCCCCTTACACGCACCCTCCAGTACTCGAGATGGATGTTATCAGTTTACCCTTGGGCTCTAATGGACCACATCTTACTGAGGGGAAGAAAACAGGAATGAATCCATCTCAAGTTCCTTCCCGCTGAAGCCAGCAAAGCATTCTGCATTCCTCCGCCCTTTTTCTCCTGGGATTACATCAGTTCATGTGACCTTATGTGCTCTAGGTCTGGTGTAGACCCAGCAGGGTTCGAATCTGACTCGGCTCCTAAATTAGCTGGGTGACCTCCAGCAAGTTCCTTAACCTCTGAGCCTCGCTTTCCTCTTCTATACACAGGGGGCGATGTTGGCACCTACCTCACAGGGTTTGGGATGGATGGTTGGGAGCATGAAAAGGATCAATCCATGGCACACATGCCCAGTGCCCAGGCAAAGCTCAGACCATTCACACTTCTCACATGCCCATCTCATCTCACGAGCTCAATAATTGTGTGCTGACTGTCTGATTATGTCAGCACTTACTATCATCACCATTGTTAGCCTAGAAATCTAATGAGAACAAGGACCACAGCCGAGCATGAGAAGGGGCGGCAGAAGTCCCACACCTGCCCATCCCAAGCCTGCCCCGGCTGCTCTGGGTTAGCCCAAGCCTGTGGCTCATGAGCCTTGTGCACACCTACCTCTGGGAGGCCCTGAGGCCCCCTAACGCCGCTGTGTGGTGGCCGCCATGAGACTGCAACAACTCTCCCCAGTCAGGCAGGGGGTCTCACTGCTGCCCGTCCTGGCCAGTGAGCCCGCCAGTGTGCCCAGGCATTTGGTTCCCCTGGGCTCTGGGGCTGTACAGTAAGTGCTGCCAACTTCCCCCTGGGGTTGTGTTCCAGCCTCTTACAGCTTGAGGGTGTGAGAAGTAGAAAGGCTACGGACGCCTCTGGCGGGCCGGGCCACGTGCCTGGCTTGGCCCCAGGCAGAGCACAGAGCCTGGCTGGGGACCAGGCCTCCCCCACAAGGCTTCGGCCACCACCCAGGCCTCCCTGAGTTTGCCTGGGGGTTGGGGGATGACCGACCATCTCCTCCAGAGATGAGCACAAAAGACACCTGGACTCCTGGGGCCTGGCACCAGGGGCGTTAGACTGGGTTATAGGGCCAGTCAGACCTGGCAGGGAATGTTTAGTCCTAGGGAAGGGGAGAGAAGAGGGAGGGAACCCCCAGCCCCCCTCCCCCGGACTGTGCATCCATCACAATCCCCTAGGGTGGCATGAAGTGAGGGGACAGGGTGCGGAGGCTCTGGTGCCTGCGGGATGGGATGCAGGCATCCTCAGCGCTCAGTGAGCAGAGCGGGGACAAATGCCATTGCTCTTGGCTCCAGAGAGGCAGTGGGGAGTCAGGAACTCACCCGCTCTCGCTCTCCAGGAACACGGAGCTGGTGCTCTCTGCGAGGGCGGCGCTGATGGGCGAGAGGCAGAAGGGTGAAGAGAAGGCCTCCGAGTCCGAGTCGAAGGAGCTGGCCCTGCTCACACCCTCGGCCGACAGCTCCAAGGAGCCCTCCTCCTCGCCCGCCTCGGGTCGCGGCTCCCGGACCTCTTCCATCCCGTCCTGCGAACTGACCGCCGACAAGATTCCCGAGTCGCTGTGGGCCGGCTGAGAGGCCAGGAGGGAGCTGTCTGTCCCCAAGCCCAGGGCCAGCTTCTCCCCGTCCTCGGGCGAAGGGCTGACACGCTCGGGGTCTCGGATGCTCTGGGCCACCACCAGGATGTCCTCATCTCTGGGGATTAGGGTGGGCCTGGGCTCCATGGGGGACGGCGGGGGGGGTGCCCCCGAGCTCTGGGTACGCCGGCCCCTAGGGCGGGGTGCCTTGCGCACAGGGGAGCTCTCGGGAGTGATGTAACGCAGCGCCTCCTCGTCCTGCTTCTGGATCCGGGAGTTGGGGACCCATGCGAGGATGAGGGTGGCCCCCAGCAGTTCATCCTTCTCCATGTACAAGCACAGGTAGCCTAAGGGGTCAGGGGCACAGACGGTTAGGGAGGCCATGCACGAAGTGCCGCTGGCTGGTTTCTTGTAGGAGCCACACCTGGGTTAGTAAAACTGTGGGGCTGTGCAGATTAGCCAGGCTCCAGACGCAGCCTGGCGCTCAGAAAACACACCTGAGGGATACAGTTGAGCTCAGGATGAATGAGTGCTGTAGGCATTTTCTAAGCAGATCCAGTGGGCCCGGGACCTCAAGCAGCAGCCCGTCCTGTGCTTTCCCTCCTCCTCTAGTTCAGAGCCCCACCCTGTCCACTGTCTGGGGGCTCCAGAGCTTCCCTGCCTGCATCAGCCTCCCGGTCCAGGCAAAGCCCAGGGAACTGGGGAGAACACAGGGACCCAGAAGCCCCACTGGCTTCACAGCCTCACCACAATCTCAGGACGGATACAGGCAGCAGATTTTATTGTTATGTCCCCAAAAGAATAAATCCAAGATGAGTGGCACTGGGGCTTTTTCCAGTTGGCTGTGGCTTCTTAGCATTTCTTCCTTACCACTGTTTTGGAAAAAGGGGCCATCTCGATGTCATGCCCTGCACTGCTGACAAAAATGAGAAGAGCGATTCTCCAAGGCTGCCGGCAGTGCGTGGGTGGGCTCTTCGGGCCCCTGGCTGCTCAGTCTGGGGAAAGGTGGCCTTTCCTCCTGCAGTACCTGCCATTTTGGGGTGTCCTGACTCCTGGGGCTGTTGCACCAGGTTCCCAGGCCTCCTGGTTTCTGTTCTGAGAAGCCCCTAGGGCAGGAGCTGGGGTCCCTTTCATGCCCCAGGGCTCTGGCTCAACCCAGAATCCTTAGCCTGGCTCCCATTTCCAAAGGAGGTGGGGGGAACTCCAGGACTGTCAGCAAGTTATGCAGAAGGATAAGGTTCGGGTGAGGCCAAGTGTCTCCACACCCGCAGACCACGTGGCTTTGGGTTGGGAAGGGAGCCTGAGACCTCTGGCCCCCTCTCCCTTGCCTCCCATCACAACAGGATGATACCAGAAGCCCTCCAAAGGCTGCTGCTATTTTTTTTGTTTTATGCCCAGAACATGTAACACCCTCAGACCCAGGCCTAGAACCTCTGCACCTGGCACCCCAAGTCCTCGGAGTTGGTCCCGTGGTCAGGCGTCCACAGGGTCAAGGTGACATGCCACCCAGAGCCTGCACCCCCTTCTAGAGCACACTCCAGGGACCAGGACCCTGGAATCCCCTGCCCTCACAGTTCAGAGTCTGCTTCCAGGGCCTGCTCGGGGCTTCCCACCTGAGCTGTATGTGGGGGCTGTGGATGGAGCTTTGGTGTCCCCAGGAGAACACCCGGGGCCCCTGTAGTGCAGGAAAGAGCTGGGGCTGGAAGACGGCTTTCCTGCTTTGGAACCTGGAGGGTCTGGTGATTCTAAGTCTGCACCTAACTGTCCGGGTGACTGTAAAGATATGCTTATCAAGGCAGGAGGACAGAATACTTTCCAAAGAGTTCATTGGTATAATTTAAACTTGTCTTTTTTATTAATTAATTTATTCAGTACTTTGTTGACACATAATCTGCATGCATTAAAGTGCCCAGATCTGATTGTAATTCATAATTTTAAATGTACTGACATCTGATGTGGGACCTCTGTCTGGACTCAGGTGGGCTGCAGCCAGGCTGCAGGTGCACTGGGACTGGGGATACGGAAGCACCTTTCGGCAGCCTAGGGAGGCCACAGGATGAGCCCAGGGCCTGCCCTCACCCCACCTCCACCGCAGGCTGGCACTGGGGAGCACCTCTGAGCACCAGCCTCCTTGTCCGAGAGGCCGCCTTGTCCAAGAGACAGGCTTGCCCAGGCTCCAGCCACTCTCATGAGGTTGTTGTGCAAATTACATAAAGCGATACATTTGTCTGTTGCAAGTCATTTGCACAAATGACAAAGGACCACACAGACCTCTAATATCACTAACCCATCTTTTTGATGCTTCCTCAGAGCAGCGGGGCTGAGGGACTCAGGTGTGAGTGCTGGGCTGCCATAACCAGGTCTAACACCCCCTGCCTCAGAACAGTCACAGTCAGTGACACTCCTGCAAAGAGAATCTGTGCCCACCCCCTTAGTGCACAAGGAAGCTTGCCATTTTGGGGCTCAGAATACAACTGGAGCCCCGGAAAAAATGTAGTTTCTTTCTCTGTGGCTTAGCAAAAGATAGCAAAGTCACCGCCACTACAGGAAAAGTTTCCCACTCCTGGGACTAAGGAGAGCCACGGGCTGGAGTGTCCCGGGAATGGCTCAGGGTAACTCCGGGCTCCCATGTGGAGGGTCAGGAAAGGACCCTCCTCCATCTCCACCCCTGCAGAGTCTAAGAATTTTCTTCCCCGATTTCAAAACAGAGGATTTAAGCAGAGGGTGTGCAGGGTCAAAGATTTCCACGTCCCCAGATTGCTAGGCCTGCTTCATGCCCCACTCAGTCCTCACTCCACACCCTGGACTGCAGGAAGGGACGAAACCACCAAGACTGTCCTGAGGGCTACGTTCCTGCACGTGCTCGAGGGGGCCCGGCGGAAAGCCTCTCACTGGGCAGGTTCCTGCAGAAGAGGATGCCTCGCTTCCCTTCTGGTTTCCCTCCCCAGGCGCAGGGGGCTCCCTGCTCCCAGAAGCCCTGTAGTGCTCAAATGTCCTACTTGCAAATTCAGGCTAATTCCCCTTAAGCCGTCCTGCCTCCCCTTCATGAGTCAAAGGTCACTGGCCTGCTTCCCAGGTGGGGAAATTAGGGCAAATGGGGAGCTTGCTAACTTTAGAGAGATCAGCCAGCTCTCCTCACAGCCCTCCCCTCCCAGCATGTGACCCCAAGCCTTCCTCTCCCAGCATGTGACCCCAGGCCTGTCACCCCAGGCCTCCCCACTCTGGGCTCACCTGGGTGGTGCTCCCCGAGCCCCTGCAACCCTTCCGGCGGGTGCACACAGACATTGTTCTTGGAGTAGATGATCTCCCCATCCAGGACGGAAGGGGGCCCACCGCCACCACCGGGGGTGAGGGTCAAGAGGTCCGAGGCTTTGGAGGAGGCCCGGCGAAGGAGGCGGCCCAGAGACATTGCCGGGGGAGTGTTTCCATACTCTGCACACTTGGGCCCAGGCAGGGCTCTTCCAGACCTGCCTGGGGGAGGAAGACAGAGAAAGGGCATGGCCAAGGTCATGAACTTGGACTGGGTATCCCTGGGGCAGCATCCTACCCCACACCTGTAGGCTGGAAACGGAAGCTGTGGAACCACAGAAGGGGTCCTGCTAGCACAAGGCCATAGGGAGGGTGAGCTGGGTTCTCAACAGTGGCGCTATGGACACTTGGGGCTGAGTCATTCTCAGTGGTGGCAGCTGTCCTGTCCATTGTAGGGTGTTTTGCAGCATCCCTGGCCTCCACCCACCAGATTCCACTAGCACCCCTTTCCACTATGACAACCAAAAATGTCTCCGGGCATTGCAAATGTCCCCAGGGGGCAAAATCACCCTGTTAGGAACTTGTCTAGGGAATTCCCTAGTGTCCAGTGGTTAGGACTTGGCGCATTCACTGCCACGGGCCCAGGTTCAATCCCAGGTTGGGGAATTCAGATCCCACAAGCCGCGCAGCATGGCCCAAAGAAAAAAAGAGAGAGAGAGAGAGAGAACTGGTCTAGAGGGATCTGTTCCCACGGCAGCAATTTCCAAACCTCCAGGACACAGAGTTCACCCCTGTGTCTCTTCCTTCCTGAGATTCTCAGCCATCTGTGGTGCTTCCCAGGGAACATCCTGGTTCTCCTTCATCCTTCCCACCTTTCCCAGCCTTCTCCACCCTCACCTGCCCTGTGTGTCCTCATCAGCCCAAAGCCCAGCCTGACGTCCCAACACACACTGGCTGCCTCAGCTGGGAAGGGGTTACAAGTGATAGGTGAAGGACCCGAGTTAACATACAACCCATTCTTTAAAAAAATAAACTAGAAACCAAAGGATCAGATCCAGAATATATACAGAATTCCTGAAGACTCCCTGCAAAAAAAGGAGCAATATCCCGACAGAAAAAGCAGGCGATTCACAGAAGTGGAAACAGAAGGACTGAGAACATGAAATGAAAACCCAACACCCGACACACTGGCAAAAAGCAATTTTAATTCCAGCAAAAATGAAACAAAAGCCCAGGCAGCTATGTGAACCAACCAGACGTTACTGTCAATGGGGCTCATGACGGCCACGCACCAAGCTGGGAGTAGGATGACCACAGGTATGATGTAGCCTGTGTCAATGAAGAGATGTGCATAAAGCTATTTCCTGGTCAGAGATCATGGATGTCCGAGACTTAAGGCCATGCTGGGCAGGGTGCAGGCCAGCCTCGTGGTGGGGTGGCTGGGTGGAAGCGTCACAGAGGGGCTGCAACTCAAGCTCTCAGAAAGAAACAAAAAAGGCTTGAAGCTGGTATGATAAAATTATTGACTGGGAATCGATAGACCAAATGGGGTCCGTCCATATGATGGGATATTATTCAGCCTCAAGAAGGAGGGAAATTCTGACACCTGCTACAACATAGATGGACCTTGAGGACATGCTCAGTGAAACCAGCCTGTCACAGAAGGACAAATATTGTATGATTCCACTTATATGAGGTACCTGGGATAGTCAAACTGATAGAGACAGAGAATAGAAGGGTAGGTGCCCGGGGCTGGGCGGGGGCTGGGGAGTGAGTGTTTCATGGGGAGAGTTGCTGTTTGGGAAGATGAAGTTCTGGAGGTGGATGGTGGTGACGCGGCTGCACAACACTGTACCCGAATGTCCCTGATGCCACTCAACTGTGCAGTTAAAAACCGTTAAGAGGGTACATTTTATGTCACTTTTTTGTGAGTTTTTTTAGTGGTCTTTCTTTCTTTCTTTTCTTTCTTTCCTTTCTCTCTCTCTCCCTCCCTCCCTCCCTCCCTCCCTCCCTCCTCCCCTTTATTTTTGGCTGTGTCGGGTCTTAGTTGCAGTACACGGGATCTTTTGTTGCAGTGCACAGGCTTCTCTCTAGTTGTGGCGTGTGGGTTTTCTCTTTCTAGTTGTGGTGCGTGGGCTCCAGAGTGCATGGACTCTGTAGCTTGCAGCAAGTGGGCTCTCTCGTTGAGTCATGCGAGCTCAGTAGTTGTGGCGCTCAGGCTGATTTGCCTCGAGGCATGTGAGATCTTAGTTCCCCGATCAGGGATTGGACCCAAGTCCCCTGCATTGGAAGACGGATTCTTAACCACTGTACCACCAGGGAAATCCCTCGCTTTTTTTTTTTTTTTGGCCACGCCGCGTGTCTGGCGAGATCTTAGTTCCCCAACCAGGGATTGAACCCGCGCCCTCGGCAATGAAAGCGTGGAGTCCTAACCACTGGACTGCCAGGGAATTCCCTATGTCATGTATGTTTTACCACAGTAAAACTTTATTTCCTCTCACTGTTGTGGCCTCTCCCGTTGCAGAGCACAGGCTCCAGACGCGCAGGCTCAGCGGCCATGGCTCACGGGCCCAGTCGCTCCACGGCATGTGGGATCCTCCCGGACCGGGGCACGAACCCACGTCCCCTGCATCAGCAGGCGGACTCTCAACCACTGCGCCACCAGGGAAGCCCAGTAAAACTTTTTTGAATAATCAACTGGAGGCGGTTCTCAGGCTAAATTATATTGTTCTTTGCACCCTCTACACTTTGTACATTTACCCTTAAATCCAGGGCTGATTTAGGATGTTCCCTAAATGGAGTTCTTTCTGTGTCCAGTGCTTGGATGGGTTCTTGGGGCAGAGGGCGGGGGCTGGGGGTCCAGCTGGCTCAGCAGGGTAGGTGTTGTCTCAGTGCTAATTTCCTTCAATGTCCTGGGACCAGGCAGCTCAATGCTGGATCCTCAGGCCCTTATGGCTCTCTGGGTGTCCCTCTGTGCCCCCTTGCTCTGATCTCCCATCTCTTTGCATATTTCCAGTTGCCTCCATGGCTACTAACTCTCCCAAACACAGCATCCTTCTAACAGTTCCCTGCAGGCCCAAGAGTCACCCTTCCCATTCCTGCGTCTTTACCCAGAAAAATCCATCACTCTCTTCTCTCTCATTGCTGAGGTTCCCAACGTCAGGATGACCTTGAAAATCACTAGCCCTGGAGACTCAGGCCCAGCCCTGAGGTCCTCACCTCCTCAGCCCTGAGCCACAGAAGCCCCTCCATTCTCGGCCATATCCAGGGCCCCGAATCCACCCCTTCTCAGGCATCCCCCATGCCTGAGACACCACTTTCAATGTGGGCTGCAGAATCAAGTTGACCCCTTGGCTCAGGGGACGGCAAGCTGGTTCTGTAAAGGGCCAGACAGGATATATTTTTGGCTCTGTGGGCCCAACGGTCGCTGTGGAGAATACTCGATTCTGCCCTGTTGTGTGAAAGCAGACAGTATGTGGGCAGGTATGACTGCGGTCCCGCGAGACTTTATTAAATAGATACTCACGCCAATTCCATATAATTTTGCCGCTACACAAGAAAACTCTTCCAGTTTTTTCACCCATTTAAAAACGTAATAACCATCCTTAGTTTGCGCACTGTATAAAACAGGAAGAAGGCTAGATTTGGTCCACGGGCGATACGTGGCCGACCCCCGGCTCAGACCACTTTCTGGATACTTGGGGCAGGGCTGCTCCTCGCTACCCAAATCCCCTCCGGGCCCACCTCTGGGGAAGCCCTGTTGCCTCCCCAGGTCGAGGGGGTGTCTCTCACTGCCTTAACCACTGAGTCCTGTCTGAACACACAAGGCACATTACGACGCTTGACAACCAATGTTCGAAACTTAAATCACACTGGAACCTACACGTCAAAATATGTGTTTTCCTTCCAATTAATCGTCTGGTAAAGCTATATTCTTTTATTCTAATGATGACTTCACTCCATTGTCTGGAATATTTTTAGAATTCAAGAATCATTCCAGAATTACAAGATCAGTTAATGAGCCATACAAGAAAAAGAATTCCCTTCTCCAGACCAGCACTGCCCAGAAGACATACAATGAGAGCCTCATATGCAATTTTAAGTTTCCTAGTAGCCGCATTTTTAAAAAGTAAAAAAGAAATGGGGGAAATTCATTTTAATGGTATATTTTTAGTTAAGCCACCATATCCCCCATAGTGTCATTTCAGCATGTAATCAGCATGGAAAAATCACTCATGAGCTATTTTACATTCTTTAAATCTCCAGAGTCTGGTGCATATTTTGCACTTAAGCACACCTCAGTTCACATCAGCCACCTTCCAGGTGCTTAGTGGCTTCCTGGGGCCCGTGGCCTCCTGCTGGGTGAGGCTGGGGCAGGTCTGGAGCCCCACCTCCTTCTGGGCCTCAAATGGTATTACTTAGTTTAATGGCCCTAACCTCCAGAGCGTGCTGCAAACAACGCTCAGCTGAGTCCAAAAACCACACCATCTTTAAGCTAAGACGGTTTGCCACCATTGAGGATAATCAAAAGAATGTGCTGGAAGCTCTGAAGGAGATTCCAAAATACAAGTGTTCACAATATAGCGTTTTCCCCACATCGGCTGTGAAACCCCACTGCAGCTCTGGAAGGTACATCCTAGAAACGCAGTTTTGCAAACGAGAAAACAGGGGCCGCACACCCCAAGTCAGCCAGTGAGCGCACACCTGAACATGAGACCTTTGTCTTCTGTGCGTGGAATTCTGGCTCCTACCCCTGCCCCTGCAAGCTGGGTGAGCAAGGACATTCCCCCAGTTCCACCCCCAGGTTGTTCAGTGCGGGAGACAACATGCCTCTGGGTAGATCCAGCACGTCTGTTAAACATTAGCCACGAATATTTACTCTCTTCAGACAATGCTCATTTATTTTTTCAATGTATTTGTTCCTTTGTGAGCCTATTTCATCTCAATTAAAACAGGTTCCCGACCTCTGCTCTCTGTCAAACTAGAAGTGGAGAATCCTTGACCTATTTTTTAAAAGCTTTTTCTTTTTTTAGATTACAAAACGTGTTCAGAGAAGTATAAAGAATACATGTCCCTTAACTCACACCATCCAAAAATAATCTGTGCGTTTTCTACTATCTTCTGTGTCTATCTTAACAAAACAAAACCACCCACTGGAAT